TAAATTTTGCTGTTTTTATGGAGTAAACTGAAGGGATGTCTTCATGTCCGCAAATTTAAAAAGGGTAAAATTTAGATCTTTTAGGAAATTTTACCAGAACCGCAAAAACACCAGCAGCAAATATTTACCGGTGTACAATATGCCACAGTCGACTTTGGCCAAAATTCAACTCCGTGCGGAGCACGGGTATTTGCTAGTATATATATATATATATGATATGTATATTGTATGTACTGTATAATTGATCAAATGTTGTAAATTATACATGGGTTTAATAGACACTGGGTGCTGCAGCCAATGGCAGCAAGCCCGCTATTACAGTTGTACTAGTGCGGCTAGTATGGCGTGTTTGAGCTTTACCTGGCCCACGCTAGTGTCTCATCGCCTGACCGACGGGCGTGGGTACTGCACGAGCTGACAACGTGTAACTGACCAAATACGTCACGTCATGATTTTGCAATCGCGTGCATGTTACCTTATCTTTCCCATACGTGTTATTTTCGTGAGCGCAATCTGTAAAATGAATATATTTACGCGGCAGGTAATAAATCCCCTTCTCGGGTAATGTCACTTATTAAGTTGTTTTTCTGTTTATTTATTTATTTGTTTATTTATGTATTTTGATATATTATTATTTATGTAAATTTCTCCCCACTTTCATGTACCGTCTTCACGGCCTTTCCATCATTCGTCCACAGGAATCCGTAGATCCCATCTTCAGACCTCTCCGCTGCATGGTTGAGCCATCTATCGACGCAAAATGGCACGGAGTCTCGTCGCAGGACGAGTGTATCGAACTGACCCCGCACTCGTCGTCCGTGTTCAGCGTGACCAAGTCGCTGGCGCCCTCTGCCGTCACCAGCATAGAATCCCAGCAGCCCATAGCGGCAAGGACAAGCCCACACGAAGCAGCCCCCGTTAGTTTCGATCGAATCCAACAGAGTGCGCCACCGGAGCTGGGTTCTACGGCAGCATCAAGTAATTGCTACAGCGAGCAGACGCAGCGTAGAGGCGGGGCGAGCAACACGAGAATTAATACGAAGCACGACAACCCGCGAAATCTCACGCGATCGACGCAGACTATCCGCGGCGAAGGCTCCAGATGGCGCTCCGATCGGCTCGCGTCTGACAACTACTCCGATATCGGCAAGAAGACTGCGGCAGGACGCAGACGCGGCGACGATGCCTCCTCCCCGGCGGCGCATGCGCACAGTAATACTCGAAATACGGCTACCGCGCCGACGAGAGCAGCGGAGTCGCCGCCAGATGGAGCGACGAGCGTCTCCGACCGAATAGCCCCCTGGAGTTGCCGAAGAGGCAAGATGGCGTCGGGAGAGGACAGAGGAAGGGAGGGAGAAGCAGGAAGCTGAGAATGAGGAAGATGAAGCAGGAAAAGCAGGAAGATAGGAATGAGAGCGCAAGGAAGGATCGAGTACAGCCGACGGCTGCCGACAAATTGCAGACGAATTCTGGCGACGTTGCTAGCAGCAGAATGGAAAAAACAAGTAAGTTGTTCTCTTTGATATTTCATTACGTAATTAGAAATTATATTATATATATATAGAAGAAATGATCTTTTGTTGCTGTAGACTGCAGCTTGGTTCTGTTGCTGCAAGACAAGGTAATTATTGATTACACGTAGCTGCGAGCACACTCGGAGATACAATCAAACAGCTCTATGCTATATATATATATATATATATGCGATTTTTGTCATGTTGTTGTTAGTTGGTGTAATTTTGCCTATTTATTCATAGCAGTAATGATCTGGTATCTCGTACAGGTTAACATTAGCGTTAGTTACTGGGGGTAAGACAAAAAGTAATTTCTATTTGACGTCGTCGACTGTCGTATGTCGTTGCTATTGTTGTTATTGTTGTTGTCGTCTTCGTTGTTGTTGTTGTTGTCGTCGTCGTCGTCGTTTTTGTTGTTGTTGTTGTTGTTGTTGTTGTTGTTGTTCACACCGCTGTCGTTGTTGTCGTTGTTGTTGTTGTTGTCGTTGTCGTCGTCGTTGTTGTTGTTGTTGTTGTTGTTCACACCGCTGTCGTTGTTGTTGTTGTTGTTGTTGTTGTTGTTGTTGTTGTTGTTGTTGTTGTTGTTATTCACACCGCTGTCGTTGTTGTTGTTTAGCGACTGTTGGACGTCGCACGCGCAACCATGGTGACAGTGAGAGATTTGCCGGCGTCGCCGTCATAGCTCTCATCATGGCCGTCAGCACAGCCGTCTTCGTCGCACTCGGTGTCTGTCTCGCCAGGTGAGTTACCGACGCTGCGTTTACCTGTACTTGTTATTATCTTATATCTCAATTGAATATTTATTAAATATATAAATCGGTTAAATAAACGAATACTTCATTGATTTGTTACAGTTTTTGAATATCTGCTTATTATTTGCTGGTTTATTAAGTAGCAACTGTGATTAACCAGTTAATTAGTTATTCAATATTTAATTTTCTGAACTGATTAGTAACAGTACGAGGAAGGGTGTTTTATATATTAGAAGTGGGATGATAACCAATAATTTACTGTTTACTCATGATACGTAATTTCTGTCTCCCGATTCTTATTATAGTCAGTTTATTGTAACTCATAATTCCTGCAGAGCTGAGGACGCAAACTGCTGCCGTAAGAAAAATTCATNAAGTCGCAGGTCACCAGCATGGAATCCCAGCAGCCCATAGCGGCAAGGACAAGCCGACACGAAGCAGCCACCGTTAGTTTCGATCGAATCCAACAGAGTGCGCCACCGGAGCTGGGTTCTGCGGCAGCATCAAGTGATTGCTACAGCGAGCAGACGCAGCGTAGAGGCGCGGCGAGCAACACGAGAATTAATACGAAGCACGACGACCCGCGAAATCTCACGCGATCGACGCAGACGATCCGCGGCGAAGGCTCCAGATGGCGCTCCGATCGGCTCGCGTTTGACAACTACTCCGATATCGGCAAGAAGACTGTGGCAGGACGCAGATGCGGCGGCAATGTCTCCTCCACGACGGCGCATGCGCACAGTAAAAACGAGGAGAAGCAGGAGGAGGAGGTTGCGATGACGGGCGTCAACGTAGAGGGCGCTGTCGCTCAGTCTCGACGCCACCTATCCCGCCACGACGCAGCGAACCCACCCATACCGAGCGACGAGGGGGAGAACTTTCCACATCCGCCCACCAGCTGGATCCTCCCACCGCCGTCTCTGGAGAGACTACCGACAGAGGAGTCCCACCAGGGGGCACCGCCGGGCAGCGGAATCAAGCTTCTCTACAAGTCGAGAGTGATGAAGGCGGCTTCACGCGCCCACGTCGCGTGCCGAGGCGCGGAGCAAGATGCAGAGGCAGCGACGAGCAAGACACTGATGAGCGGTCACAGCCGTGGCGTCACGCACAGGGAGGCACCAGAGGGGGCGCCGGCCCGCAAGCCGAGTCCACTCATCCGCGATCAAACGGGAGCAGTAATCGGTTACCTGTCCACATACAACAACGACGACGAGGAGGCGGCGACGGAATGCGATCGCCGTGACAATGTGACGGAATGTGATCACCGCGGTGACGACAATGCGACGGCATGCGATCGCCGCGGCGACGACAATGCGACGGCATGCGATCGCCGTGGCGACGTGAGCGAGGGAGAAATTACAGACGCTGATAACTTGCACGACGGCCCTCCATCGCCAGGTTGCCCTCGCCGCAGCGACGACTTGGAATGCTCCCGCGACATGCCGTCTTCCCGCGCGACAAGGAAGCCATCCGGCGTGAAGAGACGCTACAAGGTCATCAGACACATGATGACGATGCTGGAAGGCTTCGGATCGCGGATGAGCATGCGCAAACCAGCCGACGTCGAAGACGACAAAACGTCGGCGACGCTCCGTGAACCCGCAGATGAAGAATCCACGAGCACTCTAGCGCCACCTACTGGCAGCGAGCAGACCATCGAGGGTGTGGGCGTTTCGTCGAAGAATTCTAGTTCTAGCTCCACTGACAACGCGTTTAAACACAGGCACCTGCTCTACGTGAAGAATGACATGGCTAAGACCATAGACGAACTGTTCAGTGCAAGAAACCACTAAGACATTCGTTCATTCGCGATTAACCGATAGCAATTGACGTTGTTAACATTATTTCCCTCCTGTATTTGCATGCTAGTATCTCTGCTTACTGGCACTACAGTGGCAACTTAGCATCGCAATCTCATCCCATATAAAGTTCATCCTATATACTGTCAGAGTCTGTCTTTATATCATGTTAACTTTCAGGCATGCGACACTTTGATTTCATTCTATGCAATTGCACACCCCTTGTGGCTCCCTGGCTTTCAACCCTCGATCCGTTTTCATATTAATTCATATCTCATATGTTGATTTTTCTAAGAATTAAAGTCGTTAATATAATTATTTGTTGATATATATAAGATTATGTTGTGTAATATTTGTCTTGTCTGTGTTTTCCTCCCAGTAACTTTGCAAGAATCACTAACTTAACTACAAACAAGTACGTAAAACTTTAACAGAGTTTATTTAAAATGATTTGTCCATACATGAGAGAGCGGAGAAGAGGCTATAAGAAATGCTAACATATTAATATATATCTTCTACTGATAATACCAACAAAACGTTTAACGATAATAAAGTGACCGGAGAACTAGACGTAACACACGTTAAAACTAAAACCCCCACCCCCACCCACTCAATGCTTTTCAGCTCAGGATCTCAGGATACGCAGTAACCTCCACTCCATGCACCTGATGAGCCTCACTCTGCACTCACGCATGTCTTACGTTACAGCGAGATCATGCTGCTTTCCGCTAACTACTCGTAGTAGACAGCAAACACGGTGCCCGTCGCGAACAGGTGGGCACTCTCGAAGAACGCCGACGCAAAGTTATCTCGCGAGGAATCCCACACGCAGCGGCTGCCAATCCTCACGTCCTGATCTTTCTTCTGCCCAATGTTGACGACTACCACTATCCTGTATCTGCAAACGAGAAAACAGACATCCATGAATAGATGTATGGACAGGGGCGTAAATCCGTACCGAGGAGTGAGGGGATGATCGGCGATAGCCGGGGGCGAAATTAACCTTGGCTGCCGCAGGCAGGCCCGTAGGCATGCCAGTGCTAGGGGGGTCTGGGGGCATGCCCCCCATAAAAAATTTTGAAATATTTAAGCCATTTTACTGCAATCTGAGGCATACTGTGGGCTATATTCTCATGTCTGATGACACTATCTCAACCCTAGACTCAACCCTACAAGTTAGGATTCAAAACACTTTTCATGACTTTTCAGAGAGCGTACACCGTTAGGTTACTATAGTAATAATACATTTATTAAAACACAGGTAAGAATTGCAATTTCTCACAATTTCACGTGTTTTTGTATGTTTGCAACCATTCTTTTTAGCTATTCTTTTTTCTCTCTCTCTTTTTTTTTGAATCTCAAGGGAGATATTTGTACAGACCATCCCTCCCTCCTTCAAGAGCGGGTGGGGGATGCATCCCCCATCCCTCCCGGGATTTACGCCCCTGTGTATGGAGCTATGTAGTAGAGGCATGCGTGAATGTATCTATATAAGGAGACATCTATGTGGAGGTATGTACAGATGTGTAGATCCATGTAGGAGAGCTACGTATAGATGTATATATAAGAAGTCATTCACATTGAGAAATGTATAGATGGATAGATCCATGTAGGAAAAGCATGTATAAATGCAAATATATAAGGAGACATCCATGTGGAGGTATGCACAGATGTGTAGATCCATGTAGGAGAGCTACGTATAGATGTATATGAGGAGATATTGATGTAGATGTGTGCATAGATTTATATGAGTAAATGTAATTCTGTGACAATAGCTAAGGCTACCAAGAAGTTGGTAGCTAAGGTTCTATAAGTTCGTCCTTGCCATTATTTCACAGTGCGTGGCGGCCGATTTCTGCTCTCACCCACCTGTCTATGTCTAGCAGTTTCACTTTGTGTTTGATCTCCTGGGCGAGTGCCTTGCTCATGATGTTACAGGTTATTGGGCTATAGTGCGTGCCCTTCAGATGCCCTTCCAAGACTTCCTACAACATCGTACACATTCGGCATGCATACGTGAACATTCTCATGTGTTTTTGTAAACTCTTGTGCATGTATATGCAGATTGTATATTTGAAAATTTGAACTCGGTTGATTGATCAGTTGTCGGTATGGTTATAATATACTACAAAATACTAATTAAATTATAATATTGAATTATTTAAATAATTGCTGAAGCATTATTATTTTAAACGTTGAGTATACAAGCAAAAATTTATATAAGTAATTTAATTCTTTATGTATTTGACTATAGATCCACACATATGATTAATTATTGGATGTGTTACACCCAGTCACCAGAGCATGCAAAGTATGATAGCTTGTCTGAAATTTGAATATGATCTTACCTGTATTATTTCTTGCACAGGCCCAGGTCTAAATCGTTGAGGGGGTTCCATGCAATAAGTGTTCTCATAAGATACCTAAAGTGCAAGTGTAAGACAGATTAATCATATAGCAGAGATAAACATAGATTTTGATTTGTTTTATATATGAAATGGTCACACAATAGTATATATTTCAAATACATACTTTATAAATGACATTGGCTTAGTGCAACATGCTATGTATACTATGGCCCATAGGGTATATGTCTCCCTGGGTACTGCCGGAACGTACCCTGGGTACGGTCCGGTATACCGGAACGTACCCTGGTAACTATCTAATATGCCGGATCGTACCTCGCCTACTCCAAACTGTACCCAGTTTTCAGCCCCCTCGACCGACTGTTGGCAGGAAGCATAACGCTTTACGGCAATAGTCTAGGTTTGTTTCCGATACATGTGGTGCATTTCCCGCGCGACCAAAAATCTTGCATGCGCAGTGTACGCATGTGCGAAAATGTCGTAAACATTACGAAAGGAAAACGCATTCCTGATCATCGTGATATTTGCAAAAGGATTCCGCGCATCAGTGTATATATTTTGGAATTTCTTCTTGGTTTCACAGTTTCATACTCCAATCCAACTTTATAAAGATAGGCGGTCTGTATGTATATTTCAAATGTTGCGACATCAGTAGTGGACGGAACAGGGACAGTTAGGGTAAGGTGGGGAGTAAGCGAGGTACGGTCCGGCATATCAGATAGTTACCAGGGTACGTTCCGGTATACCGGACCGTACCCAGGGTATTTCCGGCAGTACCCAGGATAACATAGACCGTATCAGCTATACTACCTGTAGTAACAATGAATTAAAAAAGATAAGATCTAATTTCAGACAACATTATCAACAACCAACAGGTGTAGATGGCTTATTCACTCACCTTGCGCTGTTTCACCTCCTCTTGGTGGGGCTCATGGGAACATGACAGCACACTGGATCCCAGTGGTACAGAGGGCCGACCTATTTCGAACAAACTTGAGCGGCGAGCTTTCGAGGGCAGTGGACCCAAGGCTCCTGCTTCATCTTGCTCCGCCATTTAGCTTAGGTCACTATTTTACTCTGTATAAAAAGCTAATTTGACATATCAATAACATTATCATTAGTATGGAGAGGTAGGTCAGGGTGCATAAGCTAAAATTATAGACTTTCGTGAGTTTTATTTAAATTGAGAGTTCCAATCAATCCACTAGCTGTTAACTAAGTAGTGTTATGAAATTTTGACAGTTTTGTCATGACATCAGGGCTAAAATTCTATTTTTAATTGTTTTAAAATTCAGCACAATTATATTAATATGATTAATTATATTAATTAAAATAATTCCGTGCAGAATTCAATTATTATTTTGCTTTATCATGTTTATGTTGTCTGAGACTGAGTCTGAAGTTACAAAACCACTGCCAAATGCCACGGGCTCGCGTTTGTTGACTACGCGTTGGTGCACAGGCACTTGAAGCGTTTCAATAAAATATAATGCTAAATAAATACGAAATCTATTTACTACAAAATTCTTAATGTTTCTATACTCTCTTTCACCTATTATTGTCACCAGTTTCCTGTAAATTCCGTCCAAATCCTATGTGCAACAAACAGTGAAACACTGACTGCCGCCATTCCTCACGCGGCTGCAGGGTGCACACTGACACTTATATGGCAATAATAGCCTAGGCGAAAGAGAGTATAGAAACATTAAGAATTTGGTAGTAAATAGATTTCGTATTTATTTAGCATTATATTTTACGCTGTGGCTATATGCCCGGCAGCCGTGCACGGTCTTCGTTTTCCTAAATGCCCGGCAGTTCTTAACCCTAACTCTAACCCTAACCCTAAACCTAACAAAAACCCTAACTCTAGCCCTAAACCTAACCCTAACCCTAACCCTAATCCTAACTCTAACCCTAACCCTTGTTTACTTGAGATAACACTAAAAATTAAAAACTGCCGGGCATTTAGGAAATCGAAGACCGTGCCCGGCAGCCGTCAGATATACGCCGGCTGCCGGGCATATAGCCACTGTGTATATTTTATTGAAACGCTTCAAGTGCCTGTGCGTTAGTGTGTACTACAGTGTTACTTTTAAAACTCTCTGTATCGCGTACTATTATTAACATCCTAATAGTTATATCTTCGTTTCAAGCTTGGTTTATAAAAACGCATTTAGGAAATATGTAAAAATACCGAGTAAGTTATCTCACCAACGATAAGGTAGTTATTAGTTCCAAGTGGCAAGTTTTTATTTTCTGTACAGCAGGCGGCATTGTGACGCGTTGTGAGGTCACCGAGGTCAGCACACAGCGCTACTGTGGCGCCACGGCTGGTGTAGCAGAAATAAAGTCCTCCCGTATAATAAATAGAAATTACAGCAGTGTCATCTAAGGTAGGCCTACTTCGAATTCGCTAACAATTAAGTACAAAAGCTATTTTGTTTGTCATTAATTATATTTTCACAGATATCCTATATATGTGTGCTATAGAATATCTGTAATGCGCATTACGTTATTATATACTTAGGTTATTTGCTTCGATAATATCAGGAGTGAATAATAATAGATATAGATATATTATTATTCAGTCCTGATAATATTAAGGGTGCATTAAGCTTCTTATCTGCATTTTAAATATTGCCTTGCATCTATAACTCTCTAAAATTTAGAATATTATATTAGGAATATTAGGATTATATAGGAAATAGTGGTGTGCACATTAATTACTTGTATAATAAAAGTACGTTTCTCTAGACCAAATATAAAGAATTTCACCCAGTGTTAAATTAATTCCAAACTCTTACCGTGTTTATTACAGAATTACAAAACTTACAATAAAGTAGTACAGGTTTTTCGATCTTGAATTTTTCATTACTAGAAAATATTGACATTTGTTATATAACATGCTTATATATTGTTTTAATAAATAGGCATTTTCTTAACAACACATCATTACTCTCTGTTCACCACACCAAACTAGTTGCACCATGACTACATATAGTGTTTTTCTTGCATAATTTTATAGATTTGACATATTTAAAAACTACACCGCTACATAAAGGTGTAACATTGCTGTTGTTATTCATTAATCCTCCTGTTACACGAGGTCATGGTCACAATGTATAGGGGCCTACACGCTTTGTATCGTTAGCTTCCAGGGTTTTCCGCATAGTAAAAAAAAACTTTTGGTTAACAACGGAGTGTCTGTGGCTAGATTACTAGGAGGGACTCAGACAGGAATCTGGAGAGGGTCTGTTTGATAATGGCATCCATCTCTGGTGTTAGATTCTTGTTTTTCCCAGTAAGGGTGGCAATATGTCAATTGTCCGATGGCTTGGGTTGGTGTTGGTCTTCACATACCCCAGTAACATGGGAGGTTGACCGTATAAAAACCATTACTATAAAAATTAAGAAAATACAATCTTTAGACCAATAAGTATAACAATTACAACGGACATAACAGCGAGCGTACTTTCTTAATTTGTAACATCAAACTATCCACGGCGTCTACACAGTCTCACGTCTCTTATGCAATCAAACGCTTGGCGAAACACTTGATATCTGATTAACATAACGTGTAAAAACAACTGTTTTTTACGATATATGTGTAGGAGGGCCGCACGCTTAAGGTAATCTCATCACACTCCTCAAGTTTACAATCGTATGTGCATGTAAATAAGATCACGGTTTAAAAATTATATATATATATATATATATATATATATATATACTTATCTGGGTGACACGTACAGTAATGTGATGAAGCGTACTTATTCACCGTTCAATTCCTAATGAGTCATAATGTCAATCATATCAATTATATCAAAAGTGTATCAACTAGATCTAGTTGATCTATTTTTGATTGCATCAAGAGTACATAAACTATAGTTCATGCGATCTCAGTTACAACAGCATATAGTCACAATAACAATTATATATTTACTATTATTACAAATGTAATATATATTCTACACAGCGACGCTAAATAGAGGTAGTGGATACACGCCACGTGCCATGGTGTCTCTCAGTTTGTTTGTTCGATGTGGCGAATGTCTTTATACACAATGCGACCACTCAGCCACTTCTCTTCCCCCCCTCTCTCTCTCTCACTCTCTCGTTTATTTTCTTTCTCTCTCTCTCGCTCTCGCTCTCTCTCTCACTCTCTCGTTCTATATATCTTCATCTCTCCCACTCTCTCTCTCTCGCTATCTTTATCTCTATCTCTATCTCTCTCGTTCGCTCTTGCTCTGTCGCTCCCTCTTTCCCACTGTCCCTTTCTCCCTTGCTTTCTTTTCCGCTAACTTCTTCTTACCTCCAACTTTCCTCTCGCTCTCTCTTTCTCTCTCTCTCTCTCTCTCTCTCTCTCTCTCTCAAATTTCTAACTAGCTATGTATATATAAGCAGTGGGAAGAGTACACTTTTAGCCACTTTACACTTCACCGTTGCGCCACGCGCTATATTAAAATTGCATATTTGGGGACAGAGTATCAGAGTTCAATTGCAATTGGCTATCATACATATGGGCATATGAATCTATGCATATCGACTCAACACGTCTGATTTCTCTTTCATCTCCTTCTTCTTCTTCTTCTTTGCTCTACTTATCCCGCTGCAGCCAATCCTTTTCTTACTCCTCGTCTTCCTCCTTCTTCTCCTCCTCCTCCTCCTCCTCCTCACCCTCACCCTCCTCCTCATCATCCGTCTCCACTTCCCCACGCTCTTCTTATTCTTCTTCACCTTCTCTTTTTCGCTTTTCTTCTTTCACTTCTTCTTCTTACGCAATTACGTCCTTCTTCTGAGAGGAATACCCAACCCTAACGTCCCGACTTCGGACGATAGCCAATGAACTGCTTCTGTCATATCATAAGCTTTCAATACACGTAGGTTCATAATATGGATGGTTCGGGGTCGCGCACGCAACCGTCTCATGGCCTTACACGCAGCTTTCCGGCGATGTGCGCTTATATGCCCGTTACATCATGTCTATATCCATCAAAGATCTATCAACGGTTTTCCGTTCGCAGTGATCGAGCGCGGAACGAAGAGAGACTGGATGCAAGTGGTTCGCTTCCAAGCCGAACTAATTATTGTTTCCATCTTGTGCGAATCATTTCTTCGACTCATCAACAAATAACAATTACAGTCGAACTGTCGGCGGCAGAGGTATATGTAATTGAATAGTAAATGGAACTCGTAGGGGGTAAAGGGGGCTAAATGCGTTAAGCAGTCGCCATCGAGGTCGCTGCTGAGTAGGCTACGCCAGCTATCGGGCGTGGCAGGTAATTTATCCATAGTGAAACCTGAGGCTAGATTTAACTATATGCCGTGTTAGGCATGTGTGTAAATGCTCGTCCATTGAACTGCGGTGGGTCCCGCGCGTAACGTGGGTGCGAGTTGCTGCGAACGTGAGAAAACTTGCGAGGTCATTTGCACGGAATATAGTAAACGCACGAACACACGCAATGTGCTCGCGAAGAAATACTGCTGAGTTTACACAGTAGGCCATATATATTTCGCGTTCGCACGTGCCTGCAACACCTTCGTGCATGTCCACAAATCTCAGCATAGGTTCGCGGGCAATACTCGCCGGGGAATTGTTTCCATGATGGCACGATTGCAGACGGAGGCGTTGTTCGTTTGTTTGTCGGGCGGTAGGTGGCGACAGCGTCCCATAAGCCACGGTACGAATAAGTTATGCGGATTTTATTTATGCAGCATTGTCATCAACAGTTTTCGTCTGATGTTGATGGACTGTCGTCAGTTTTCAATTTTCCACTGCAGTCAAATTCCTGAAAAACGTGAAAATAACATCAACACGTTAATATTTTGAGGAGGTTCGTGCCATTATAGACACCTAAAGGGCATTCCATAGATGTGCAAAATACTAGCTGAAAACAAGAGCCTT